GCCCTCTGACAGATCAGGGCTAGAAGGAGAGCAGAGTCTGCTATGACACGGCTAAAATCGTCCCCCTCAATAGAGCCAGAAGTCTGCTGAGGGACAGAGAATGGCAGAGCCAGCAAGACAGCAGAGCAAGTCAGTCACATCATATTTCAGTAACGGCGTGTAGCTGCTTGTTAGCAGAGATCTGCTTTCCAACGGCAAATAATAAAATTATGCTTTTTGTGCAGCTAATGAAATGCAAATTGAAGCTGGATGCACATTAATGCAAAGAGTTGAATATCCATTTAATCAGCTCCTCCCTGCAGGGGCCAATGATAAAAATGACAGAGGAATTGCATTGCTAATTCTGGGCCTGTCACATCTTATACGTCCTTACCTTGTAAACCCACTATTCCTGTGGCCGACACCTGCCTGCAGGGCCCCAGGTTTATGCATCAGGGTTCTGGGAGCCTGGGAATCCCTCTGTGGGGAGGATTAGGTGATTAGGTCTGGATGGGGAGCAGGGAGGCCTGAGGGGGGAATACAATGAAATAGATCAGATTTCTCCTGTATTCCCAAAATAAATGGCCACTGTCCTCTCCTCTGGCCCCCACCAGCTTAGCCTCTCTCATATGGGGGTGGGTAGGATGATGGTCAGAGTATTTCTTCCTGTGATAGAAATCATAGAAATCAAACATCCACAGTATCATATGAATAGCTAACATGTCAACTGTTCACTTTGTGCCAGGGACCGCATGTCATTTACTTGCATCTGCTCAGTCGCTCAGCACCCGGGAGGAGGGTACATTACTCCTGTTTACAGACAAGGACACTGAGGCTCAGAGGGGCGAGGTGCCTTGCCAAAGGACACACAGCTAGTACATGATTTAAACCCAGACAATATGACTCTGAAGTGCATATTCTTTACTACAGCATCCTATTTTCTTTGCAGAAAGTGACACTGGGGCAATAGTCCAGGGCAGACCACCCAGTACTTGGTGTCCAGTAGTAGAAGAGGGCTTGAAGAGGAAGACGTGGTCGGAGCAGAACTGAAGGAGGTGAGACTAGTGCTGGGGAGTTAAGGGCATGAAGCATCTGCCAAAAGAGCAGAGGGGCTGGCAGTCGTTCCTGCCTGGCTCCAAACGCTGCCCGACCAACTACTTTGGGGCAGATGAAGCCACGCAGCCTGTCTGGAGCAAACAGAGAGGAATTGGGCCAGACATGCACTCAAGTAAGCCCAGAAGAAAGGCAGTCAGCACTGACCTGTGAGTCACTGATTCCAGGGACAACGAGGAAGACAGGTCACAGAGACAGAAGGAGCGGTGAGGCCTGATAGGGTGGTAGAGGCCAGAGGTGGTGGGCTGGGGATGAGCTCCGTCTGGGTGCCTCTTTCTGGGCCTCCACTCTGTCCTGCCAGAGTGGCAAGAAGACGCTCGGGCCTTGGATTCTCCCCACCCCTCGCCTCTCCACCAGCACTGAGAACAGCTCCAGTGGGCTCCAAGGGGCTCCGGCGGACACGTGTAAGTACACTGTGACACGGGGGTCCTTAACCCTCCTGGAAGCGCTGGAGGTAGGGGTGGGGAGGGCGTCTTGAACAGCACACACTGCCTTCACGAGCCTCTGCCGTGACAACCTGTCTCCGGACGCTGATGGGACCTGACAGGCTCCTTCCAACCATCACACCACCACTCTGGCAAGATTTCCCCGTTGTCTGGCCTCTGACGGGACACAGATGAAGAGGTGTGAGCTCCGAGCTCTGTTGTAAACAAGGAGAGTAAGGTCATCCCCAACACTTCCTACCCCACCAGCTAAAGGAGAGATGACCTCCCAGCCCACCTCTGTCATGGCCACACTGATGCCCCACACTGCTTTCATTTCTGCCACTCGGTGACCACCTGCTGTGTGCCAGGCACTGTCCATTCGGCACTCTAGTGAATCATGGCAACCGCAACCCTTCCAGAGAGAGATTCTGATCGTCCCCATTTTACGATATAGCAACAGAGGTCACACAATTCACTAAGCACGCGGTTCCACTGATAACCAAGATCGTGCTGTGTCACGCTGTGCTCAGCTCCAGGTCAGGCCCTGAGGGTGGCCGCAGAAGAAGAATGCACAGTCCCTGCGCTCGAAGACCTTGTGGGTTCATCTGGGGTAACACTCTTCCAAAAGAGCGAATAACTCACACACCCACAGCATCCTGTAGCTTAAAACGCAGCTTAAAAACCAAAGCTCAGAGCCGTGTGCTCACTGTGCTACTGTGGGTATAACACACGGAGAAATGAATATATGTTTGTGTTTGCTTTAATGTGAGCACGTTAAAAGGAAACCCTCTGGGACATGAGAAATGGGAAACGGTGTCCAGCTGGAGGGTAGGAATGGACAGATGGGGGCAGGGGAGCTGGAGATTTTTCCTATACCATCTTTTCACTTTATTCTTATTTTTGAATACACAAACATACCAGCCATTCAAACTTTATTGAATAGAGTCTTTAACTTAAAAAGTTAAGCATCCTTTCACATAATGTCTACAATAGGACGACGGCAGAGGTGTTCACAGCAAAGGACCTGAAACTTAGAAAGGTTGGTCTGTGGTTCAGGCACAGGGGAGCCAGGGCAAGGACAGCCCACTCAGCCTCTCACTCCACCAACATTTGGTCCTAGTTCAGCACCCAGTGGGTCCAGACACAGAGTAGCTCTCAGTAAATAAGATGTCATCCCTCCCACTAGGACATCAGATAAGAGGGCCATGGTAAAGTAATCTTGCTCCCCTAAGAAAGGAAAACCAGCTAAACCCCAGAGACTGCAAAGTTGGGACAGAAGAGCCCCTCGGTAGGAAGGGAGGCTGAGCCAGGGCACACAGACACGGTCACCTTGAGCCCTAACTTCCTGGGGGTGGGGTCTGACTTCAGTTCCCACTGCCACCACCACAAACACCAATACCAACATAACTTTCCAAAAAGCTCCATTGAGAATATCGAGGGCCTCAGGACCAGGAGAGGGACGTTCTGCTGCTGGGAATTTGTTGCCAGGTGTCCCATCCACACGCCTGCTGATCTGTCCACCTTGGCCATGTCCTGACTGCCCACCTGGTGTCCTTGCCACCCCACCCCATCTGCCAGGAACTGCCCAACACTCTGCTCCCAGGTCAGGCTTCTGAGCCTCAGCTCCACAGGAAAAAGGCACCAATCAGGGCCCTTGCACCCTGGGGTCCTGCCTGGATATGCCTACTCCTCACAGGCCCGTACTTACCCACTCCCTATAGCCAGGCAGTGACAAGTGCTAAATAAGAAGAGTTACACATGGGCAGTATGGGCAGGCAGGGGTCACTCGCTCTCAGGACACACTGCCTTTGGGTTTGTTTTTGTTGTGTTTTGGTTGCATCACACAGCTTACGGGATCTTAGCTCCTCAACCAAGGATTGAACCTGGGCCCACAATAGTGAAAGCACCAATTCTTACCCACTGGACCACCAGGTAATCCCCTTGAGCTCGTCTCTGACGTGCCGAAGAGTGACAAGCCAGATACTGAGCTGAGGAACAAGGCAGATGAGGAAGGGAGAAAGGCTTTCACGGCAGTTTTGAGCTAGGACTTCTCCACCAACACTCTAGATTATGGCCTGCGATTGGGGGGTCATGAAATGAATGAAGCTGGGCTCGCCAGGGCTAGCGGGAACTGGAATAAAAACAACACAGGCTAAAGAGTATCAGAAATACAAGAGGAGAGCAAGGGAATGATGATCACTGGGGACGTCTGAGTGGCCCAAGGACAAATAGAGTTGCGTTAACCAGGCAGACCAGTGGGGAGGAAACTTCCAAACAAAGGAAACACGTTTCCTTTCCTGTGGTTGTCAAGACCAGGTCTGCACCAGAGAAGCAACACTGTCCACTATTTCTGTAGTAAAGATGTTCTGTATCTGTACTGCCCAGCACGGTAACCACCAGCCATATGTGCGGTTCCAGAGCACTTGAAATGTGCCTAGTATCCTGAGGAACTGATTGTTTAAAATTTTGTCTTGATTGTATTTATTTATTTTCAGGGGGTGCCATGCCATGCAGCATGGAAGATCTCAGTTCCCCAACCAGGAATCGAAGCCATGCCCCCTGCAGTGGAAGCGTGGAGTCTGAGCCACCAGATTGCCAGGGAAATCCGTAAGTTTTCATTCATTCAAGTTTAAATAGCCACACTACTTCCCACACTGCTTCCCAGTAGTAGCCACACTACTGTCTTCCCTGGTGGATCAGACTGCCTGCAATGCAGGAGACTCGGGTTCGATCCCTGGCTTGGGAAGATCCCCTAGAGAAGGAAATGGCAACCCACCCCAACATTCTTGCCTGGAGAATTCCATGAACAGAGTGGCCTTGTGGGCTACAGTCCATGGGGTGGCAAAGAGCTGGACACGACTGAGTGACGAACGCTTTCACTTTCACTTAGAGGCTACTGGCTACCATATTGGACAGCCAGGTTTTGAAGTTTCTGGAAGAATCAAGGCAAGAAAAGCTGTTAGTGCTCACCAGTCCCTTATCAGCTGTGTCACAAGAAGAAGGAATCTCTGAGGATTGAGGCTATGAAGGAAAGGCTAGTCAAGGAGAGAATCTGAGCAGGAGTGAACTTCTAGACAAGGTTGGGATCAAGCTCACCTCACACATCCAAGCCGAACATGGGCCATCGGGTTTCCATGAAGCTGAGGACTGTGACTCTCCCTGAAATCATCAGTCCGCTGAGTTTGGGGTGGCCTGAATTGTCTTTGTTTGGGGCTGTTTGTTTTGAGTGGTGTCATTATTTTATTTTTAAATTACCTATAATGTACCCTTTAAAAATTCCCTAATTACAGATAGGATAAATACATAATTGCAGACTTTTTAAAAGCACGTATTATTTACTCAATGCTCCATAATTACGGTCTTTTCCATGAAATGTATTATTTCCTGGATGGTCCGTAATCGCTCCTTTGAAGCTGGCTGGGGAAGGCCGAATTGTTCCTCGGATTCGGTTCACAGGTCACTGGCCCCATCCCATCAGGTGGTTTATGAGCCCCTGAGGTCGGCTATCAGAGCGCAGCAGGCCTGCAGGAAGCTCCAGGTTTGGCTACTGCGCCAGCCGATCGCTCCACTGTTGGCGCGGGCCTGGTTGAAGACAGCTGGGGCTTGGGGTTTGAGGTTGCGGTCTACTGTTTCTCTCTTGATCCTTCTGCTGACAGGAAGATGGTCAGTGGTCATGAGCTCAGACTCAGGGCTGGCCCAGTATGTCTCCCAGCTCATCACTGACTCACTCTGCAACTTGAGACAAGCCTCTTTGTTCAGGTTATGTATATAAAGCAGTCCCTGAGTTCAGGTTTTGTGAGAGGTGATCCTGAGAAGTCCAGGTGAGGGAGTGGGAAAACGTGACAAAGAGACAAAAGGCATATACATGTGCCTTGGTAAGCAAGCTAACTTCTGTCATACACACCTCAAGAGACTATAGAAGGCAGCTCAGAATTGCCCCCTGAGGACCAAGGAAGCTAGGGTTTTTACCCACCAACTTTTGAGCATTGTCACCAGGCACATTAACTTCCTGGCATGTCTAGGATGTAGGTAGCTTGACGCAGGAAGCTAGTGACACATAACAACCGCTGTCCACCAAGGCTGCAGGTGACCTCCAAGACGGACCTGAGGGTTATGGGTGGGCCTCGGGAGTATCTGTAAAGCGTGTCGCTTCTCTCTCTGCCTCAGTTTTCTCATCTGCCAGTGAAAATCAAAAGAGTACTTGCCACTTAGGCTATGGGGGAGAAAAGGTAAGTTTGGATAAATGAAACTTACTATTGAATAAATGCAAGTTGCTATTGTTGTGAGTGATCGCAGACAAGGCCTTTGCTTGGCCCTGGGTGTGCTCTTTCTCCACAACTGCCCTTGGCAGCCGCGGTGGCAGCTGACACCAACTCAGACAGGCTTTCAGGACTAGCCAAAAAATTGTCTCAGGGCCTGCAAAGCTGACCCCCGCATGATGGCAGGGCCTTGGCACTCTGCTCTGTCCCCATATCTGTTACCCTGAGTCAGACACTATTGGCTGGTTCATCATTCCATTCCCTCCTTTATCCCTATAGACCCCCAGCTGGTCCAAGAATGAATGGCTTAGAAAGCAGAATCTGGGTTAGGCCTAGCCAATCATAATAACTCCGTTTTCCTCTTCCTAAAGAGGTGAGTTTACACATTTGATCCATTTCCAGCCAATGAGAAGTCAAGAAAGTCATTTGGGAAAACTTTCTTCTCTCTTAAAAAAAAGCAAAAAAGATATTCTCTCTTCTGGCAGCTTTGGACAGTGTTGTATGAGGAATAATGTTTGATGCAACTGTAGCCATCTTGCACCATGAAGGCACAAGCCTGAGGACAAAGTCAGAGGCAGAGTGACAATGGAAAAAAAGAGTGACATCAGCAGAGCAGATAATGAAAAACTCCAAAGCCTGCTCATGTCACTGAGTCCCTACATTGATGAGCCTCAGAATTGTCCTTGCTCTGCCATAAAGAATGATCAATGTTAATGTACCGCTTACGTTGTGCCAGGCACTGTTCTAATCACTTTGCATTTGTTAACCCATTTAATCCTCACAAAAGCCCAGGAAGGAAGGGGTTATTGGTAGTGCCATTTGCAGATATGAAAACTGAGGCCCAGAAAGCTTAAGTAACTGGCTCAAGGTCATACAATTTTTCTTCCTTATGCAGTCTAGCTTTGGGCTCTAAACTCTGATTACGATAGAGTCTGCCACCACTCCACTATTTTTGTAATGTGCAAAAATAAATCTATCCTTCAAGCCATCTTACTTGGTTCTTCTGTTAGATGCAGCTGAAAGCATCCCAACTGGGATGAGGAGAAAAAAGAAAAAGAAAGAAAGAAACCCAGAATTTTTAGTTAAAGGGACTTGGATCAATCTCTAATATGTGCCTCAAGAAAGTGGTACCTGCGAGTTTGTTTCTCACACACGTCTTTGGCAGGACCCTCTCTTTGTGATGGTAACATGAATGACCAAGTATGACTGTCACTACGAGGCCAGCTTCACTGTGAGTCAAAATCTGTGCTCAGCACTTTTGTGGTGATCCTCAAGATGACTCCACAAGGCAGGTGTTACCACCCCTGGCTCACAAATTAGGAGGTCATTATAATACTGCCTAGCATGTATTGAGTTCTTACTCTGTGCCAACTACCAGGCTAAGCACTTTTCAGGCCTTTTCTCACTTAATCTTCTCAACAATCCAATAAAGCTATCATCACTTTACAAAGGAGGAAATCAAAGGCTCAGAGAAGCTAAGCATCATGTCCAAGGTCACAAGATGAGAGGAAAGGCTACAAGTCAGACTTGATCTCCCTGACTCCCAGCTAGGCAGGCTGGGGTCTGCAACAGGGAGGAAAGTCACAGCCAGAGAACCAGCCACCACCAGCCAAGAAATGGTCTCGGAGCTCAGTCAGCAGGAACCCAAGCAGCCCTGAGTCCAGAGTGATGGTTATCGTAGGAAGGAAAGAGAACTTGGTGTTAACAGTTATGGCCAGCAGCAGGGAGGAGTGAGTTCCCCATCACTGAAAGTATTCAAATTAAGGCCGGGTAAGGATTTGTACCAGGAGCAGGAGGGTCTGCAAGAGACAGGGATTTTAGGATTCTAGAATTCTGTAGCCCCACATCCAAACTCTCTCCAGAGTCATGGAGACCTTGTAGCCTGTGTGTTTCTGCTTATTCCAGAGGGAGGCCGTAGAAGGAGCCCTGGACCAGGAGTGCAGCCGTCTGACACACCCTGGCTCAGGGATTCCAGGCCGCTTCGTATTGCTCCCTGAGTGGCCAGCTAGGCGCAGTGCCAGGTGTGGCTTTCTGCAGGCGCGACAAGGTACAGGAACGAGCTCAGATCTCAAGGGGCTTACCATTTACACACCAGCCTGTAGTATTTCCAGAGAAATGCATCTACTGACTAATGAACACCTCCCTCAGTCCTGTCTAGGTCTGAGGGCCTGTGAGGGCTGCTCAGGGGTAAAGAGCAGCCATCTTCACCCTGGCTACTTCTCAGGAGGAATCTGAGGCAATTCTCTATTCCAGCCTCAGTATTCTCCTCTGCAAAATGGGGGTGTAAACAAGAAGTTCCTAAGGTCACTTCTGGTTCTGGAGTGGAGGTGCCAGATATCTGTATAAGGTTGCCACATGGGTCGCAGATCTTAGAACAGGGTGAGTAATACCCTGGCTTCTATGTGCTCAGTCTGGGGAACAGAAAATTGTGGAGTTCTCCTGGGCCTTGTCAATCTTTTGTACTCACAAATGGGCTCCCAGACTCACCCAACAAAATGAGTTCTAAGGTGGTCAGGTTCACTCTTCAACTTCATCACTCTCTGTTTTTTTTTTAATGTTAAGTCTTACATATTGCTTTTGCTTCGTTTTGGCCACGAGAGATGTGGGAGCTTAGCTCCCTAGCCAGGGATTGAATCTTCACCCCCTACTTTGGAAGGCTAAGTCTTAACCACTGGACCTCCAGGGTGAGTCCCACTCTCTCTCTATGAAGGCATCACAGACACAGAACGACCAAGACTGAGGTTCCCCAGCCCTGCCCCTTCCTGCCTTATAATCTTTGGTAAGTCTGTGTAAGACAAAGGTAACTTTGGTTCTCATCTTTGAAATGGGAATATAATATCACCTCACCCCACTGTTGGGAAGATGAAATAAGGCATTAAGGGATCTGGCATAGTAATAACAAAGTACACAGCTGGTACTCAGCAAATGCCCATTTTCTGCCCATGGGCAAGGGCACAGCTCCTCCCCCTTCTCCCCGTGGAGAAGGGAAGCTGGCCTTTGGGCAGCTCAGGGTCTGCTTTGATACTGGCCAGAATGGAGGTGATGTCCCCGCCCCTAGTGGCAGGACTCACACAGAGGGGTAGCCGACCAGGAGGCGGCATGTTCTCAGAGCAGATAAAGGACAAAGTGTCCAGGGCAGAGCTGCGTCAGCATTAGGAAGGGCAGTGCTGTGACAGGGACCCTGAGCACAGCCCACTCTTCTGAGCAAGGCCCAAAAAACACACTTGGCCACAAGAGCGTGCACCGCCTAACAATGAGCAAGAATGACTGCAAGGCCCCCAGGCCCCTTCCCAGCCCTGACAGTCCTGGACACAAAATCGCAGGAAGATCGGGACAACTATGGAAAGAGGCACGGAGAAGGGAGAGTGAAACAGGGTGCTGGGGTTCACACAACAGTGGTGGACGGCCCTGCCTTCTAGGAGCTCCCAGTCCAGCAGGGAGACAGGCACAAAAGCAGAGTCCCAGGCTCAGGGTGATGGGTGGGAAGCCAGAGGTGAGCAGGAGGTACAGGAGACATCCAGCATCTGGGACCAGGAAAGACTTCACAGAGGAATGATGTCTGAGGGTAGCTACCTATGTAAAGATGCCAAGAAGAAAGGGGAAGAAAAGAGAGAGAGCCAGCCAGACGCTCCACAGCCATGAGCCGGCTGGCCCAGAGCCAATCTCGGGATAAATCATGACTCAGTGCCTGGCTCCTCCTGTAAATCTGGGAGACAGACAAGCGCACTCTGGAGGGCCTGCCACTCTCCGGGGAGGGCCCCAAGTTTGTCACCAGTGATAGGAGATGCAGGCGTGTCCACTTGTGTGTGCAGAGTCATGTAAGTCTGCATGCACACTCACATTCATCCGCTTTTACACACATACACTAAGGCAGGGCAAAGAGCAAAACGGCAACTGGCTGCCGAAGGGTTTTTGTAATGAGACTTCATGATTCATCCCTGTGTTCAAGGTAGGAGCTTCAGGGAAGAGACCTGCACAGTTCAGGCCCAAAGCCACCTCTTTCAGCAACAAGGTTCCTTTGGCCCGTGTTGCTGCTCTTACAAGGAGAGACGAGAGTGTGCAGGAGGGTGCAGGCTTGGGAGATGGATTGCTGGGCTTCCAGCTTCAGCTTATTGAAACTTGTTAGGTGATCGCCCCTATCTGGGCCTCAGTTTCCCCATCTGTACGTTGAGGCGGTCAGTCTAGATCATCAACAGCAAGGAGCTGTTATTTCACAACCAACCCTAATCAATTGGTCATGGCTGCCTGGAGCACTCTGACGACTGGGGTTTGTGCAGAGCCATAATTGATTAGTGATGTCTGCTGTAGGCAAAGGTGGGAGTGGAGGTGGCATGTGTGCTACTTACCATCCCTTCCCACTTGAACCTTGACATACCATGAGTCTCCGACC